CCGATCTGCTAACAAATTATGGCTCGAAGCAGACGATATCTGTCCTCTGATCCATCCAATCCGGATTCCGGCCTTGAATTCCGCAGCCGGCAGCCTGCTCCAGGATGACTATGACGCGTTCGCACGAGCAGGCAGAGTTGATGACTTCCATCCATGCGCCAATACCCAAGGACATGAATGATGCCGTCATGGAGGCTAAGAGAAGGGGGGATGAGAGTGGCGTTAACGTTCCAGAAAACAAAGGTCGCTCAGCAGAGGCGATAATAACCTCGCGCAAAACGGCCCTCACCTCGTCCTTGTCCACAGTCATCATGAAAAAGGCGGTTGCTCATAAGAATCAAACCAGCCAGCGGATCGAGAAACTAGATATCAGAGTTAAAGAAACCTCTCAGAACGAACTACTGTCATCATCATCATCATCATCATCATCATCACAGTCGTCATCATCTTTGTCACCGTTCGCGCAAGATCGACGACCGGCCCACGAAGATGAATCGGATAATGAGGATACCGGCGGCCCATCCAAGGAAAATGACCCTTCACTTTCACCTTGCCCCGTAGTCATCACTACGCCGTCGAACTCGCGGAAGAGTGTACTCGGAAAGCGTCCACTTGCCGTTCTCGAGAGCGCCAGTGAACCTGAGTTGGGCCCAGTCGATTATTCCTACGATGCTGATGTTAATGTCAATGCACATTCCCATTCCCAAGACGACGACGTCGACGGCATGACTCCCTCTGAGAGGAATATCGCCGCAAACGCCCGAGCGAGTGAGCAACAGCAACCCCTAAAATCCCCCAAACTCTCAGTATTGGGCAGAGGTGTCAACTCTTCCGGTCGGGTGCGGGACGATTATCCCGAGCGTATTGTTTCAGCCCTTGAATGTAATAATAGCAATAAGGATTCACATGGCAATGGCGGGAAGCGGGTTGACAGGTCCTCTCGACAAAGCTCGATATTTGGCCTGTCACAACCACTACCATCACAGCTGCTCCTACATTTGTCGAATGAGAAGCCCAGTGGCGGCGGCAAGGAGAATGACGCGTCTACGACTACTACTTCTTCCATTCTTCCTGCCTCTACAACAATTGTTACCACTACGGCCACGTTTACATCTAGCACAGATAAACCAGAACAACCACAACCATCCGGGCCAGCATCAGGATCGGGGAAATTGACAGAAACCATCCCCCTATCCCGTACACATCCACCAAACAATCATAAACCCGCAAAAGCCCCACAGCAGCCGTCATCGGTTCGCTCATCGATGTCTGTGTCCAAGTCGTCGACGAAGAATAACAGCAATTCTACCACTAATAAGAACAGGGCGGCACAGAAGGTTTCGTCAGCAGCCGCCAAAGCAAAGGTAACAAGGGTTGGCTTGAGGCGTCTATCAGATGAGGGACGGTTTTGTGGGTAGGTAGGTAAAGGGTGGTTTTTTTTTTTATTTTTTTGTTTTTTTTTTTTTTTTTTTTGTTTCGATTCGGCAGTAGAATCGCATTTCGCGATGCGGTGGTGTAGGAGCAATGGATAAATGGATCATGGGTAAATGAGTGGGTGATGATTATGATTAATGACGATTATGAGCTATTATCATTGGCATTCTGGGAATTGGAATCAATTATTTATTTGGAAAAGAGGGGTGCCTTGTGCATTGTGCTGTTTTCTGCATGACGGGGGTTGAGTGTGTTATGATGGTTTGATCATTAAAGTTTTATTTTTATTTTTACTTTTTGCTTTCAATTGAACTCGGGGAGGAGTCTGTTTGTTCTCTTTTCTTTTATCTTTTCTTTTTTTTTTCTTTTTCTTTTTCTTTTTTTTTTTTTTTTCTGTTTTAATTCGGGATTGAATCGAGATAGAGGAAATTCAGTTGATTGAGAGAACATTGTAGGAAGTAATGAAGTTACTTACATCCCTGAATTTCATATATATGTGTATGTTGGTTACAGTTTCTCACAGGAGTAGTCAGTACTCAATAGTCAGTAAGACAGTAGTTAATTATAATTATAATACAGATGAAAGAAGTGAAGAATTGGCTGGTTCTTGTAGATTCGAGTAACAGTGACATCTTTTTACATTTCTGAACTCAAAATACCTATGAAGCTCATCTACAATAACTACTACAACTCTGACAACATTTTTTTTAATCAGTTTCTTTCAAATCAATAAATGACAAGAATTCAATATTCTCAGTTTCATCACAAGTTTGATTTTTTTCTTTTTTGTTCATAAGTGATTTTTCAAAAGTTGTAAAACTTCTGATTGAGGGATCAAGATAATCTGTGGTCACACACACGATAGTTACAATCAACCAACCTTCCTCCTCCATCAAACAGAATAATTTTTGTTAAAATAAAAATATAAAACTAAATAAAAACCAGCTTCTAACCTAGAAATTAAAAGACATACACAACACACGCTCAAACTAAAGATGCAGAAAAACACTGAGAACTGATAAAAGAGTAAAACTTGAATTTTCTTCCATCTTCTCTCCCTTTCTACCCTCCATCTGCGTGTTCTCATCTCATCTCACCATGATGCATATTTCTTCCACTTCCGTTCCATCTTTTTTGAAAACAAATTGGTGTGCCTTCGGGGAGCATATGCTGGAGCAAATCAATACAACATCATAAAATGCAATAACTTCGTTCCCCTTGATTCAATCAATCTAGACAAGGGGTCCTGATGCGAAAACAAACATGTCTTTCTTCCCTTCTTCCCTGAGTCGGGGTTTCCATTCCATTATATAACCATGAAAGGTTACAAACTGCTGGCCTGCTTTTCCGGAGCCCGTAATAGAACTAGAAGTAAAATATGACCAGTCCAATATGGAGGTACGTAGCAGCGGTGTAGCTATTGCAGCGCAACGACATGGGAAACCTAGATTTCCCTGCAATCGTCTAATCATCGAGTTGGACAGGGTCCGATAGAAATGAAAATGAATAATCGAATGGGTGACCAGAAACCAAAAAAGTGGGCGCAAGAAAGAAGAACTCAAATGCGTAAGTCGATGGGAACGATATATATATTTATGTATATATATATATATTCTTCCCTCTTCTCGAAAATCTGTGCTTCGGCAGCGAAGGACGATTCGCTATAGCGATTGACAGGTAAAAATAAATGCCAATTAAGGAGATGCATGAAAACAACACGCGCGCGATACCAAAAATAATCGATTTCGAAAGTGATAAATAACGAGGGAAATATAAGATAATATGAGCAGACGAGCAGACTATCGATAGTAACTTTATAGTAGGCATCCCTGGTGGTATTGTTCCCTAAAGAGCGTATGGGTTGACGGAGCGAATAGTGAGACATCTGCGTATTCAAGTTAGCACGACGGTTTTATGTAACGAGCTGTCTTAGGGCACTTACGGTGGGCTCTTGGACAGATCTGTTTTCAATATAATTGGCACACGAGTCATCTCAGTGACGTCCTGAATATATTCACCGTCCTCCTCCCGCAGTCTGAAAAGCTTGAGATACTTTTCTTTATTCGTCAATTTAGCTTCAGGAGTTTCAACAGTACTGCTTGCGATCTTTGGGTCAGAACGAGTGCGATGAGGGGTTTGCTGCAAGTGGCCATTCCTCGTAGGAGATGGCGGCATGCTTTGAGTCGATCGATCTACCGGAGAGTTAAGGGAGACGCCTGCAGCCATCTCTGTAGCCTCAGAGATATCGTCGTCCTCATCTTCGTCGTCCTCGTCGTCATCAAAAAGAGCGTCAACGTCGTCTGTTGAAATAGTGCCGGTGTCTGTTTGTTTCCGTTGAGCTTCTTCTCGCTCGCGAGCTCGCTCCCTTGCGGCTTCCGCTTCACGAGCGGCAGCGGCAGCGTTGGCAGCACGTGTTTTTTGCGCGGCCTTGGGGCGTTCATCCTCTGGAATATAAGCAGATGACGGGACGCCTTTCTCCCAATATAACTCGAGAACACGCTCCTCTTTACGGAACTCTGCTTTCTTTAACGGCAACTGATCACAATGGACACGTTTCTCGAAGCCATATTCTGGGATAAGGACATCGAAAGCAGATTCGTAAACGCAGAGGACAATGCCCTCGCTGATAAGGTCACCTCCGATCTCGCTTCGTTTCTTGTCCATAATGCGACATGACTCAATGTGGACACTCTGCTCCTGAGCAGTCTGGGCAGAATCCTTCTTGTTGTTGCATTGTTCAGCGGTTTTAGTGAGGTTTTCGACGTCATCGGTACATTCGGAATTGGAAAGTACTGCTTCCAGTTGTCGATGGACGATAATATCTGCATAGCGTCTTGAGGGGTTGGTGAAGTGAGTGTATACAGGTAAATTAAGAACATAGTGCTGTCGCTGATCCTCCGTCATATTTCCTGCAACATAATACTTCGCACGCTGCATAGCTTTCAGAAGCAAGGTTTCCATCCCCTAAGGAGAAAAAGGTCGTTAGCAAGACAAAAACCACACAGAAGGTATCTGTCATTATATGCACTAGAAGTAGCAAGAACAAACCTTGCGAATATCAACATCTTCTATTTTGAACAGGCTAGTCTGCAGTGTGCCACTACTAGTAGGATCGATATCGTATCCTAGTCTCGTCATCCGATCAACGAAAGTCTGTAGCCGACGGACATTTGGTGGTGCCTGGCGGCGAAGGAATGCTTTATCTGGAATAGCAGATAAAAGTTTCTTTGCGACAAAGGAATTTGCTTTGTGGCTTAATTCCTCAATGAGTTCGTGCGCCGGCGTGGAGTTGAAAATGTTCTGTTCGACAGGGACGTTCTCATCATCGAGCTGGTAGAGGAGTCGCAGAGATGGTATATTGGAGGACCGATTGCCAAATCTTGCCTTCTTAAACTTACTGGCAATATCCTGAACATTTTAACACATTAGTTTAGCAAAAGGATGTTTTGTTATGTAAACTACATCATTAACGAGCACTCACACTCAAGGTTTTGATATCATTTGCGGTAGCCCCGTGAAGTTCAACGTCGGAATTTCCGTTCAGGATGGCATCCACTTCATCGTAGGTGAGTTTTCCCGAACTTTTGATTACACCTTTTCCAATCCACGGTTCTCCTTCCACAGAGCCGGTGGCGGAATTCACTTGGAAGATGACGCTGACAGTTAATCTTTCTTCACCAGGCAAAAGCGAACATATTTCAGTCGCCAAGCGGGGCGGGATCATGTTAACAACACGGGTTCATAAGATAGACGCCAGTACCACGCTTCTTAGCCTCTCTATCAACAAGCGAGTTACTCTTGATAAAATGAGCGACGTCTGCCACATGGATGCCAACTTCGACTTTCCCATCAGGAAGCGATTTGACATGGATAGCGTCATCCAATTCCTTGTAGCCGTTGGGATCGATAGTGAAAGTAGTCTCATCACGGAAGTCCCGTCGGTTCTCCAACAAGGCTTCGCCTTCGTCCTTTACGGACCATTTTTCGAAGCCGACATTCTTCAAGACAGCATCAGAGAATTCATCAGAGGCAAAGTTATTGTCTCTGAGCAGGGCGTCCGTCTCAACCTTCAAGTTGCCCATAGCGCCAAGTTGTTCAACAAGTGTTCCAAATGGATGAAGTGACGTGATGGGCCATCGCTTAATGCACGCAACAAATATGTTATTAGCGTATTCAGCGTGCTTCTCAACAAAGTCTCGGGGAGCTTGTTCGGTGGGGATTGCAATCAAGGGAACACGTTTGTCAGTAGGCTTGAACCAAACAATCTTTGGCTTATCCTGTTGACGGTCATGGTGGTGGCGAGAATGACCGCCGTCCCTAGCCTGTCGCTCTGCTTCCTGTTTCTCCTTGGTCGCCTGGCTGGAGGGTCGAAGAAGGCCAAGTGAACCAGCAAACATCTGACCGGCTACACGTTCGATCACAGCAACAACGTGGCCAGCGTAGAGTGGTTTCTGTTCATCGCTGATTTCATCTTCCTCGACGAGAAGAAGGCTCTGGCCTTCAACTTCCACGTCATCATTTTTCTTCTGGGTGGGGCGTTGGCGGAGACTGCCTCTTCGTCGAATGCTTCCGTCGGGAGCGATTTGTCCAGGATCGCCATTTGTAATAGAGTCCGGTCGAGCGTTCTTGTCCATCCCAGCAGTGCTACCACTTCTGGTGTCGGTGATATCCTTGCGTTTTTTCTTTTCCTCCTTTTCTCGTTTCTGACTCCATACTTCATCAACGTCCAGTAGTTCAACAGCAACAAGATCACCTTCGAGAGCACGGTTTCTATCCTTGCTTCCGCAGATGAAAATATCAGCATCGAGATCAGGCGTAGTGACGTAAGCGTCGGATCTATTTTTCTTGTTGACCCTCAAAATACCGGCAACCAGTTGACCGTCGTTCAGTAGAGCAGGCAATGATGCCTGGGGAAGGTAAGGGGTAAAAAGCGTTTTACGCTGTTGCTGCTGTTGCTGCTGCTGCTGCTGTTGTTGTTGCTGCGCAGACAGCTGCGTGGCAACATGCTGAGGAGCGGCTTGCAGACCTAGATTTTGGATGTTCAGCTGACCGCTTGCTTGCATCGCTTGAAGCTGGGCAATTTGAATAGGATTTAGATGCTGACCGGCAAACATTTGCGGAGGTGCCATCACAACTTGACCTTGGGGAAGCTGGATGAGTTGGGGTTGACCTGTATATTTGGAAGGAACCAAGGGATCCGACCGATTGGTTCACTGATCCACGTGTGCGATGGCCTGGTTGGAAATTTGCTCCACCTTGTTGTTGGCCAAAGCTCCCCATAGCAGTTCGTTGCTGGTCCTGCCCTTGACCCTGGTTGTTACTCTGCTGCCTCCAGTTGCTTTCGAAGTTTCTTGAGCCTGATCGACCATGAGATGGTTGACTTTGGCGTCGAGAAGAAGAATCCGGCGCTGGTGATCCCTCGCTTGATTGCGGAAACTGGAACCCGCCAGCACCTCTGCCGCTCGACATTCCACCACTGCGACCGCTGCCTACAGCCAAGGACTGACTCCGTGTATGGGATCCAGATCTAATATTTCCAGCTCGTTGAACGCCTAGTCCCTGGGGAGGCTGGGGGGAAGAAGAGGCAGGCGGGGGAGGCTTTTCAGTGGGAGAACCTTCACCTTGATTCGATGTGCTCGAAGCACCTGAGGCACCTGGAATCGAGAACTGGAATCCAGAAGTCGTTCTTTTTTGCTGCGCAAGTTCGGCAGCTTTTCTCGCTTCAGGAAGAGCTAGTGAATGGCGACGCTGATGACCACCTCCTGGAGGAGCGGCCCCGCGACCACGGGATTGCTGACCATTCTCACGATTATGATTAGAAGAACCGTGGCTCTGACCCTGACCCTGACCCTGGTTATAATCATAGGAAGAACCGGATGCACCTGAAGAAGGCGCAGGCGGAGGGCCCATGCCAACATTTGGCAGTGCAGACTGGTTACGTCGGTGGGAGGGCTGACCTTGGGGGTTCAGGGGTACGCTCACATGCTGCGGCTGCTGTTGTTGAGATTGGGGAAACTGAAAATTATTATGAGTAACGCTAGGGATAGCTTGAGCTTGCATGGTGGGTGAGTAGGCAGCCACATGTTGGAGAGGCTGTTGCGGTTGCAAAAGCCCCATGTTGACGTATTGCTGATGCGTGGCAGCGATTTGCTGTTGCTGCTGTTGGAGCAGTTCGATCTGTTGTTGTAAAGCCAATTGTTCCACTGTTTAGAACATTAGAAAATGAGTATGGAATTTCGACCTGGGAAGATGGGGAAAGACACAGAATAAAATAAAAGGCATCTAGGAACGTACTCATAAGCGGAGTAAGCTCCGAGGGGCTTCTCCGATGGGCAATATGCAAGCGCCTACCGGCAGGGCCGGGGATTGATTGGCCTTGTTGATCCATGTCTGAAACCGATAAACCACGAAATGCTTTACAATTACGTCGTATAGGTTATGTGTATGGAATTAGCTTTGGCGTATCGGGAGGTATTATGATTGCGTATCGGCAAGGAAGGGAGGTTAAACCACGCCCAACGACTAAAACTTGACCTGCTAGCCAATGTTGAACGAGATTTGGTATGCAGAACTTGAAGCGACGTGACTGATCCGAGCCCCAGAGGGCAAAGCAAGTCAGTAGGGTGTAGACAAATAAAGTTGGGGGCCAATTATTTTGTTCGAGGAGTGAGGGGGAATGAGACGAGATGAGACCAAAATCAGGAGCTAGAAGATGAGAATGCTCAGGGGGGAGGTAGGTATTGTGGTGGGGCGGTAAGGTTAGCGTCCTTTTTTTCTGCGGATAAACTCACAGAGATATGAAGTCAAGCGACGGACGAAGCGTTTTCCCCCCCCCTTTTCAAATTAAGTATTGTGAAGCTAGCCCACTCGCGGATCCAAGGTGCCGAGTAGAGGGGAAGGGACTGTGCCTCGAAATACGATAGGATATTGGGCGAGGTGAGGTCGCAATAGAATAGCACTATCTCGTCTCTGTGGATTGGGATAAAGGAGAGGCACGAGAACCCAGCAGCAGATTTGGGCAAGGTCTTTTCAAACCAAAGTATTATTTGTTGCTGTTGTTGTTATTGTTATTGTTGTTATTATGGTTTCTTGCGATTGTTTGTGATTTATAAAGGGCAAGTTATTGAATCGATTC